TGCTCTGAGCCATGACGCCATAGCACTCTACGCAGAGTGACATATTGAGACTCTATCTCAAAAAAAAAAAAAAAAAAAGGAAAAGAAAGAAAAAAAAGAAAACAAGTAGAGACCTTGATCCATCATGGGCCAAAGAGCTGTCAGTCTCTGTCCAGCACGTAGATGTGTGCTGCAGCAGTGTGGTAGAACCCGGGAACAGGTAGGGATCCTTATGCTTATAACGTGGGGTGTTTGAAATCATCATTTCTTTCAGGCCCTGCTGCTTAGAATGGTTTGTGAGAACCATTATGCTGAATCATCTTGATCATTCAGCTCTGAAAAATTGCATGTATTTAGTTGGTATTTCTTGGACATTCATTTAAAAATTATTTGCCAACTGTCATGTGAAGTGCTGTGCTAGGTCCTTACATATACAAGGACAAATGAGCTGGACAAGTCATAAACCCAGGGGAAGGTGGGTCACATAGCAGTGGTTGCATGTGCAGTATGTAATCGTCATAGCCCGGTAAAGAGAAGATCTTCAGGATGCAGGAAAAGGTGTCCTGCTGGCTACAATGGCCCCAGAGGGCTCTGCTGAGGAGGAAGGCTATGTGACCACTGGTGGGAGGCTCCCTTGGGTACCTGTGTAACTATGGAATGACACAGAATGGGGTACCTGCCCGTACCCTGAAACTTTGAATGACAAAGGCACTTGAAGCTTGTAACAAGGTGGCTATTAGAATTCTAACCCTTCCATTTTATAAGTAACGTATTTGTCAGTGTGAAAGGAAATAGGGAGACAGAATTAATGTTTCTGAGAAGCCTTGCAGGTCCTGGGAGAGATTTTTTTGGATGTGATGTTTATTTTGAGAGGGGAAGGAATTACTTCTTAGAAGAATTGTCCCCCTACTCGAAGCTGTAACAGTAGATTTATTTTTATTTTATATCATCTTTTGAAAGATTAGTTTGCTCTCTTTGGGTCCTGACATATGACATCTTAGGTGTGGCAGAAAAAATTCATCTTGAAGAATTTCTTGACTTCTGAATCGCACGATACCAGAATAATGGGATATTATTTTCTTCTGAGATTCTGGTGAGCAAAATTTTAAAATAACTTGAACTAACCTATCCAAGTAAGGTTTGTTCCGAATGTTTAATACATGTTTTTCCCTCTTAGGGGAGAAGCCTTTCAACTGCAGCTGGGATGGCTGTGATAAAAAATTTGCTCGTTCAGATGAACTGTCTCGCCACCGCAGAACTCACACAGGGGAGAAGAAGTTTGTGTGCCCGGTGTGTGACCGGCGTTTCATGCGCAGCGACCACCTAACAAAGCATGCCCGGCGCCACATGACTACCAAGAAGATCCCGGGCTGGCAGGCAGAGGTGGGCAAACTGAACAGGATTGCCTCTGCAGAGTGCCCTGGCAGCCCACTCGCAACCATGCCAGCTTCTGCCTGAAAGGTCGGCTGGGGCTTAACGCAGGGGATTTTTAAAAAGCCTCTTTTCAGGAATGGAACTGATGGGTTCCTCTCCAAAAAAAATGGTCTGGGGAGCTAGGGCACAGTTGGGGAGCTGGTTCTGATGAAAGTTATGTTAACTTTTCTTTTCTGGTTGGGACCCTGTTCAATATCTTTTGTAGTTTGAGAAATTTTTTTTTAGGGAAATGGAAGAAAATTTGGTAATTTGAATCACCAGCATTCAGGCAGACATTTCGGCAATAAAGTTTACAAAATCTGGATTTTTACAGTCTTTCTATTCATGTTTGATAGAAATAAGACAGGGTACTAATTTTTATACTATTTTTTATAAGAATATTTATATTGTTGGTGTGCAGATCACCAATTTCTAGATAGATGATTTTACAACCTTCTTTTCTGTGTTTAATAGCAAAGTTTTTATATGACCCTGGCCTTTAGTAAACTTGACACATTGTTTAGCCAAAACCAAACAAAATCACACATCTGTTATCACGACTTTTAGGTCTAAGAATTTTTTTGAAATTAGAACTGGCTGAATAAGGGCCTCTTAAAAGAAAAGGGAAAAATACATTTTGCAGTCAACTTCTTCATAACATTTTCAAGGGAAATTCCAAGCAACCACTCCTGTCGCCCAAGGAACTATAGTTTTGGTTGACTTAAAGGTGGGACTTGTGAAGGATATACCCCAGAGAGTAGCTTACGCCACTGGGTGGACCCCAGCAGCAGCAACTGGTGCAGGATCATGCGTCTGTGGGTAATGTCAGCTTTCAGGTTACTGCTGTGCTGCAAGCAAGCCATTTGGTTTCCTGAATTTTTACCCAAAACACCAAAAAAAGATAAACACTCAAACCCAACCCTTTGGCAGTTGTCTTCTTGTGATGTGGCCTTATCCATGCTATATTGTGGGTAGAACTTAGAGAAAAAGAATGTGTCTGATTGATTAGTGAACTTTCTGCCAAAGTACAGCTCATCTGAAGTGAGGCATATGTGCAGGTGATGGCTTCAAGTTCAATTCTTTATCACTAAAAACTAAGAAATGCAAATGACACTAAATGGCAGTAGTACTACCCAGCTGCCCTTTCTACCAACCTGAAAAATGTTTAAACTGGAATAAACATTCATTTTCCCTAAAGGAAATTGTTTTGATCAAACTAAATTACTGGGGTTTTTTGCAGTCTGCCTAGAAAATAGACGGTGTGTACCACTTGTGTGAGCACGTCCTCCGTATGTAAGAGGCTGTGGCTGCCACTGAAACTAGTTTTTGTTAAAATGTGTTGGAATTTCAGGCAACAGAATAAATGTAAGATGATGCAGAATGTTGCACTACTTTGGTAGCCTGGGAATTTTTTTTAATGTGCAGTATGTATTTAGAGTTTGTCTTGGCCTATTAGTTATTGGCATTTAACCTTTATTAAAATGATGGTAAGGTGAACTATTGAATAATCAAATAAAATTAGGTTTTGTGTTTTAGTCTGATACAGCCCCCACGTGGCTATTCATTGTGTGTAACGTGATGCCCATTAAGTTACATTTTACTGTCAGCTGTTATCTGACATGTGTGTGTTCTTAGGAAGTTTTCATGTTTGGACACTTCCTTAGCTGTGTGTTTCTGTTGTCTGAGACGTAGCGCAGTTGCAGGAGAACTGCAGTTGTACATAGCTCACCCCCCTGATCCTTTCTCCTGCTCATGATCAATCAGCATAAACATTTTTGACTGTATGCCATAAATGGCATCAAATTTGGATATTTTTCTTAATTATGACATGCAAAGTAATGTTAGTCCTACTAGTATTTGGTGGATACTACAAGGTCTTGAGTGTTTGGTTGCTTGTCACATAGAAAGTCATTCTCTGAGCAGTGTTGTTTCTAAAGAATAAATATGTAGAAAATGGTTTTAATTTACACTTCCATTTCCTGATTAGATGAGGAGATACCTTCTGTAAATGATTCCCCACCCCCAACCCATTCTCTTGAAAGATTGTGTTGGGAAACAGTTCCTGTCTGAAACAGACTCACGTGAGAACCAGAACCCTTGCTCGTTGATCAGCATGGAGCCCTTCAGCTGCGGCCGTGTGGGAGCTGGAGGGGAAAGGAGGTTTCCCCCGTGCACTTTATCACCAGAGCAGTTTTGCTTGATCTTTTTTGACTTTGAGCCTTTTAAGTAGTTTCAATTATAAAACTTAAAATGTTTTGTAATTATGTTTTATGTAACAGACTTTGACTTTATTATTTAACTGAGTATGTGTAATATAACTTTTTTTCTTTGAATCATATAAAACTTCCTTGATTTGCAAACTAGATTTGTGTCTTGTGTCATTTAACGTTAAGTATACCCAGAGAGTCAGTTCCTACCTATAATCTTAGCACTTTGGGACGCCAAAGCTTGATACGAGCCTGAGCAAGAGCAAAATGCTGTCTGTACTAGAAATAGAAAAATTAGACAGCATCATGGTGGGTGCCTGTAGTCCCAGTGGCTCAGGAGGCTGAGGCAGGAGGATCACTTGAGCCCAGGAGTTTGAGGTTGCTGTGAACCATGATTACACCACAAGATTAATTGTATATCAGCCTAACCTCAATTCTTGTTTTCTGGGCTTTTATTCTATTTCTTTAGATTTTCTAGACGGTTCTTTGTGAAAGAAATGTGTTGAGAGGCTGCTTCTATGGTGGCCACTCTGGCAGTGGGGCTAGTCCTGGCAGGAGAGAGGCCCTGTGGCCCTTGGTGCTCATGCTCTTCCCCTGCCAGGGGTGACTGCAAAGAGGAACAATTGGAAGCATTTTCTGGCCTCTCTGGAAGAGGCGCTTGGAAGCCTCTTCCCTGTCTCCCTTC